CGAAGAGCATGGGACGAGACGAAATATCGAGGCCTAGGAACTAGGGGAAGTCTTGTCCAGAGTATGGTCTATCGGCCAATGTTGGTAAAAAGCGAGAGCGAGAAGGCTTTGAACTTGACCACGTGGGTGAGTCCCACCTGGTTGATAGAACTGATTCATATAAATACTCGCGCCTGCTGATTACAATTCGCGCGGAACTTCAATCTATAGCTTTCTATTGATTGACAGCAGAGATGAGCCCCTAGCTGTTTTGGTGCAAATAGCCATATTGGATTCAACACTAATTTACAAAATCTTACTGAAACGCAAGATGACGGCTGGTTTGTGACCAGCCACCAACGTCTCGGTTGGTTTAGGACGAACTCCCATCTTCCCTCTCTCCTCCGCAGAGGTTAGGTTAGAAATGTTCGTTATAGAAAGCCGCTGTGCGAGGTGAGTGCAGGTGCAAAGTCCATGCGCCTACACTCGTATCGTTCAGCGGATTCTCTCCAACCAAAAAAAAACGCTTTAAGCCTCTGCAGAGGAGAGAGCCATCTTGGTTTAGAACACAGAGAAGTTATTGGACAGGAGTATGATGTTTTTTTCCCCGTCTCTTTTTATTTTCCATAGGTCACGCGCAGGTGGACGAGCCAAGCGGACCGTGCAGATGGAAAACCAAACAATGGGACCAGGAACAACCATCTTCATTCACACTAAACGATCAAATTGAACACAAACTTGCTTTCCTTGCTTACTATATTCCCGTGCACTCCAGAGTTGTTCTAATTGGCCACTCGATCGGCGCGTACATCGCTTTGGAGATGCTAAAACGATATCACGACAGAGAAAAAATCCTCAAATGCGTTTTGCTCTTTCCTACGATCGAGCGAGTAGACTCCGCGCCCAGCGGTAAGTTCTGGAAGTTCATCTGTCACTATCTACACTGGCCGTTTCTAATGGGTACAGTTCTGGTTTCCTTTCTACCATCTTTCGTCCAAAGATGGTCCATAAACTGGTGGATGTATTTAAACAAAGTGGAAAACAAGGAAAGCATAATGGAGGCGGCGCAATCAATGCTAAATTATCATACAGTTGATAACGTGCTAGAGATCGGCCGCCAACTTGCTACAATACGAGAACTGGATTACGAATGTATCCGAGCAAATCTGGACAAACTTGTTTTTTTCTATGGGCTGGGCGATCCCTGGGTCCCACAGGGATACTACGAGGACATGAAAGAGAGGTTCCCGGATGGCGATATCAAGCTGTCACGTGACAAAGATATCAAGCATGCGTTTGTCTTGGATACCTCTGAAAAGGTGGCCAAGATGGTGTGGGAATGGATTGAGGAACATATCGGTGAAATGGGGGAAAGTGCGACAATTAGCAATTCAGTGTTGACTGTGGATTCTGTCAGCATCTAAGAGGAATCATTTTCAACTTCGACCTTGAATAATACCACCACAAAAGTTACAAAGCTATTACGGTCAAGAATATTCTCTGAGCCCACGGTGTCCACAGGTTGCTAAGGAACGTGACGTCAGCCCATAGAGGCATGTTGACGTCACAATTTTGGAATGCTCACGAATGCTCGCTTTCTTTGTGACTGGACAAGAAGAATTTGAATGACTTCATGTACTTTTAAGGATTTCACAGTTAGACTGCATGATTGCATGTGAAAACAGAAACTATGTATCAGAAAAATCCATAAACTTACAATTTATTTCGCATGTTTGCATGTTTCACAGTCCACTCCAACTCTTGCCCGAATCGTTCAATAAGAACGCTCGTTCTATAATCCGCATTTTATTAATACCTATTGCCACAGCTACAACTATACGAAATGCATGGAAACAGGGAAGTCTAAGCGTTGACAAAGGTTAAAAAGAGGTATGGATACAAAGTATTTTATTGAGCATTCGCGCCAATACGCAGTGAATACGTTATCTTTTGCTCAACTACGCTAACAATTATATAAAATAGCTCAAAAAGGCAGTGCTATAGATTTGTATCATATCTGAAAAGGAATGAATTTTTTTATTGCTATTCTTGAGTGATCGATATATTCAAATATGCATAATTAACAATAAATATGATAATTTTTTGTCGTCAGGAGCTCATCAGTTGGGAGTGAGTCTCTAATACCGTGCGAGTATTTCTGTAATTAAGGTTAATCGAAGCTTTTTATTCCTGGGACTTCGCGTCTAGGTAAAGCTTTCATTCATTCGTTGAAACGTCCTGGAAAACTAAAACGCGCCAAATTCGCGGAACAATCGTTCTAAAGATGAAACACCCCTGCTTTAAAAATACCACCGTTACGGATGCTCTCTCTTAGATAATAGCCTTGAGTCCTTTTACGTAATGCACATTGGTGAAAACGTCACTTTTTAAGTCTGTATAGACTATAAATACACGTTTTTGTGACTATGTGAACTTCGTAACTGATACATTACACTGTTTTTTTTTCCAGATAATTTAGTGCCCAACTGATTACAAAAATGTTCTCCACTTATAGGATAGATAAAATTAAAGTAGGAGGGATATGGTGCTGCGCGAGCGCTAGTGAGTCTTGAAAAAAAAAAAAANACTTGTTGCAGAACACTGTCTCAAAACCCCACTGCACTAATATAGTGAAAATGTAAACTCTTCTTACCAAATGTCTTACATTTACTTCAAAGTTCATTCTGAGAATTTATCATTACATCAAGACAATATTTCCCTTGTGATGATTTTGTTTACTCTCATAACCTTTCTGCTCAGCTATGTATTGATATTGTTGGGAGAAATAAGATTTTGACTAAACTGATGAGATGAGAAAGGATTAACTTTCAGAACTTGACTTTCCATGTGCAGTTTGTTTCACATACATGTTGTATACTTAAGCAACAACAAAAGCCTTCGGTCACCTTGGAAAGTCTTGCTCCTGTGCTGTGGAGGTTTGACACTCCTTCAGACTCCAGCTCATCAACATTTTCTGGAAGAAGCGAAAACATACATCAACCACACAAAAAGATAAGATGAACATAGTAACGAAATGTTTCAAGTTATGCAGCAATGACAAATTACTCTTATTGTATCAAAAGCACCTAACAATTCTGTGCCATCGTCATGAAGATCATAATCATTATTTATTCCATTAACACTTCCTCTACTGGGATTCTTGTTCAGTAGAAGAGCTTGAAGCTGACGACGGTGTTCTTCTGCAGCATGTCGAGCCTTTTGCTTTCGTGATCTAGTGGACCTGTTGAAAAACAAAAGAATTACAAGAAGGTAAATTAAGTTATTTAGGTTGAGTTTCTCACACCAGGGTATGGTAACATGCCACTGTTTTACGTGTATATGTACATGCAAGAGAAAATTTTTTCAGGTCCTTTTTCGAGTAGTGTTATGGCTACATTCGCATCTATCATCATGTCTACATTTAATTGCTACTGTTGGACATCTATTACTATGCAAGAGAGGAAGTACAAAGTGATTGGTGATAAAAGCATAGAGGTGTAGTGCTCTATGAAGCAAAAGTTCTACAGCAATATGAGGTTCATAAAATGGGTGCCAGTACGTTGCCAGGGTATAAACTTAACAGGGAATTTTAAGCTGTGGTTTCAAATGACAATCATTCTTTCCTAGTGTATAAATTGCACCACCACATTACAACTTCTGGGACTTGAAGGTCTAACATGACAATAATGGCCCAAATGTTCATCAAAAATGAACAAAGCTTGAGAGCATCCAAAATAATACCTTGTGAAAAATATCATTAAATTATACAGTGGAACCCCGCCTTACAGTCACCCCCTGTTAATACAGCCTGTTAACGCCCTGTTCAGAAAACTAGTTACTGATTGTCATTGTTCCAGTAAATAAACAGAGTGTTGAAATACTAACTCATATGATGCCACAGACGAGGAGTCACTTCCTTCTGTTTGAATTTTGATGTCCCTTCCCACGTTCAGCTCCGCTTCTAGGCTATCATCAGCATAGTACACAGGACCTGCTGATGGAGCTCGTCGATTGTAAATCACTGTTCTGCCTGCTGGCCTTTCCTGAGAAATTAATTTGTGAACAGAACATCAAGCACAATTAGCAGAAAACATGATAACAGTTTGACTAACGTTGTGACTTGGAGCAATGTAGAAAACATGAGTAAACATGTTCCGGTACCATCAAAAAATCTCCGAGTGTTAAGAAAAACATATTAAATAATGGCTTTGGATTCTTTGAAAATTTTTTGTAACATGTACACATGTAGGTAAAATACATACAGGGAACATCAGAAATGACATTTTTCCAGGCATATTTTGACTCTTAAACAAGAATGGTGTTTTCCTTATTACAGTGTGTACAGTCATGTACGGTACCTAGTCTGTAAATGTCTTCAGTTGTAAAATAAATTGTTTGCCCTTGGGAGTAAAGATTATTTCCAAACTGTAGTGATAATAATATTATTACTAATAATACATCAATCATTAAGTAAACTGAAAAATTAAAAGTTAGCTAAGTTATTATAAGTATTTATAGTGAGCAAAACTTACAATTTCTCCATTCCTTCCCCAGGAAGCTAAAAAATAAAATAAAAAATAAATAAAATCACAAGGTTCCTGCTCTTTTGAAACAAGTCCACAACTAAATGGGATGAGAAAAATTTGTTAAAAAACTACACATAAAAAACGTCTCCGCTCACATCCTTGATAGTCCCTCAAGTCCTCATCAGCAGTCCTGGGTGCCCTGTGCTGCATGTTGAACCACTCATCAAAATCATGAGATGGTACAGCAGTCTTTGCATTCCATGGAGGTTTCTCGTTATCATTATAGGTATGCGCTGCATTTAGTAAACAGGAGAATCAAACATATTTAAACATCAAAATATTTGGGTTCATTCCTGTGGGTTTCAGCCCGGGCAGAGCTGGGACCCACACAAGGATCCAAGAATTTAATAGGTAAAGTCTGGATTCTACTAAGTGGTTGATAAGT